CAGTGCCCAGGGCCTGCACACGGCGCGCGCCTTCAGCTCGTGCCCGGCCCCGACTGCGTCTGTGTGAGCAAATGTTTCCACGCGAGTCCGCGTTGTTGGAGCCGTCACGTGGTAATGAAGTCCTGCTGCCGAGAGCAGCCACGCTGAGGGCTGAGGACACAGTCTCTGTCCATTCACCCGTTCTGTGTTTTCAGTGTTTCGCTGTTTTTTTTTTTTTTTTTTTTTAAGATTTACTTCATTATTTGAAAGGCAGAGCAGTAGAGAAAGGCAGACAGAGAGGAAGATCCTGCACTCCCAGGTCACTCCCCAGATGCCCACAACAGCTGAAGCTGGGCCGGGCCAAAGCCAGGAGCCTGGAACTCCGTCCAGGTCCCTAGATGGGTCCTCTATGCGTCTCCTATATGGGTCGCCAGGTGCTCTGGCAGGGAGCTGGATTGGAAGTGGAGCAGCCGGGTCTCAGGCCAGTGCTCTGATCTGGGAAGCCGGTGTCCCAGGCAGTGGCTTAACCCGCTGGCCACAGTGCCTGTCCTGTCCACTCACCTGGGATGGACACCTGTTTTAGTTTCAGTGTTTTGTTAAGAATAAAACCAGGTGAGCTTGCGCTTCCTACTGAAGTCTTTTCTTGAATAAAAATACACTGGTTTCCCTAGGGCATACACCTAGGAGTAGAACTTTAGTTCAAACTTCCCAGTGATAAAGGGTGACTTTTTGAAGAGCTCACGGAAATGTGAAATAAAGGTAGAATCTCCTTAAAGTTTGTTTTGTAATTCACAGATGTAGGTAGCATCATCTGACATTAAAAATGGCTCTTAAAAATAATGTTATCCTGGGGCTGGTGTTGTGGTATAGCAGGTTAAGCCACTGTGTACAATGCCGGCATCCCAGATGGGCACTTGTTCAAGTCCCGGCTGCTCCACTTGTGCTCCAGCTTCCTAATAATGTGCCTGGGAAAGCAGTGAAAGATGGCCGAGGTCCTTGGGCCCCTGCACCCACATGGGAGACCTGGATGAAGCCCCTGGCTCCTAGTTACAGCCTGGGCCAGTCCCAGCTGTTGTGGAGTGAACCAGCAGATGGAAGATATCTCTGTTTCTAATTCTGCCTTGCAAATAAATCTTAGAAAAATAACTTCATCCTGTATAAAATACCAAAAGTGTATTCTCAGGGTATATGTTTCCCATTGTTTTGACTTTAAGCAAATTCACGTGAAGCAAATAGGGCTCAAGCAAAGTGGCCCAAAGATCCCACAGAGGGTCTTGAGACAGCTTCCCAACTGCACGGGCGGGACTGAGTTTGCAGGCAGGGCAGAGGGGACGTCCATCCCTGTGCAGCTGCACACCAGGGGAAGGACACGTACATTTACACACAGGGGTGGGGAGTTAGGATGTTGGCACAAGCAGACACTGGGTAGAAGGAGAGAGAAAATATTCTAGTTATGTTCACAGAGCTCTGGGGAGACTGACAATGGGCAAGGAGCTGGGCCTTGAAACCTGGCTGAGCCACTGCAGGGTCCTGAGCAGGGGCAGGCCCAGAGGAGCTGCCAGACTCAGTGCGTTCTCCCAGCAGAGCCCAGGGCAGTTTGTGGGGAGGCGGGCACAGCGGCCGAGGGCTGGGCCCACTGGCTTTGTCTGAGAAGGCGACAATACTGTGCTGGAGGTCTCCCTCCCTTTTGAAAACCACAATTAACTGCCGTTCAGTTAATGCATAAAGAAGACTGTTCTGGCCCATAGATCTGAGCACTCACATTCTGCTTATGATTTTCTAAAGATAAAACTACAACACGAGTGGGTCGAGAAAATCTCTTCCTCCCTCCCTCCTTCTCTCTCTCACACATGCACAGTCATATTATTCGGCCTTAGAAGAAGATCCAACAATATGCTAAAATAGAAAATTCATTCCACTCTTTTTCTAAAAATCCAGAATTGACAAATTTATACCAAAGAACAAAAAAAGCTTACTCTTTGGTAGGAGAGACAAAGAAGAAAATAAAAGCCACC